TATGTTTTGTTTGGTTTGGTGGTTTGGTTTTAAGAGAGAGTCTCGCTCTAGCCCTAGATGGTGTAGAACTCACTATGTAGACCAGGCTGGCATGGAACTCAGAAAAATCCTGTCTTTGCCTCTTGAGTACTTGGGTTACAGGTGTGTCTTAGGGTTTCAATTACTGTGACAAGACACTGTGACCACAGCAGCTCTTATAAAGGAAAACATTTAATTGGGGCTGGCTTACAGTTCAGAGGTTTAGTCCATTATCATCATGGCAAGAAGCAAGGCAACATGCAGGCAGACATGATGCTAGAGAAGGAGCTGAGGTTTTTTTACATCTTGACTCACAGGTGGCAGGAAGTGGTCTGTCTCACTGGGCATGGCTTGAGCATATATGAGACCTCAAAACCCACTTCCATAGTGACATACTTTCTCTACCAAGGCCATACCTACTCCAACAAAGCCATGCCTCTTAATAGTACCACTCCCTATGAGTTTATGTGAGACAGGTACATTCAAACTACCATAAGGTGTACACCACCACGTGTTCACCACCACACTTAGCCTTAAACTTTAGATATCAACAGACAGTACTGAACACTTCGTCCAGCATGAGAACTTGGATAGGAACTTTATTTAAACCAATCCTTCTTTGTTCCTTTGGATCACACTAACAGTTTATGCCCATGGCTCTCTCCCCAGTTTGCAAACTGTGATGAAAGTCTCTCTTTTTGCCTTAAAATTTTTCCTTGCAATATTTTTTTGTTTTCATTAAGAACTGTATTTTTATTTAAATATTTATTAGAGTGAGTGTTATGAGAGACAGAGAGAGAATGTATGCCACATGTGTGCATATGTCCGAGGAAGCTATAAAAAGATGTGGGATCTCCTAGTGTTGTAGTTATAGGCAGTTTGAGTCTTTGGCTTTGAATGCTGCAATATTGGGTCTTCTGGAAGAACAGTGACTGCTCTTAACCTCTGAGCCATCACTGCAACCCCAAATCTACATTGTTTAATATTAATAAAGCTGAATTTTTTGGTTTTACATTTTGGTACATATTGCTGATGGTATAACCATTTTCCCCATGTATATATAAAATAAATATGTATATTATATATTTTAATAAAATGTGCAAAATAAAAACATTTGTTTCTGTCTTTATTAAAATTCACAGACACACACACAAATCTGGGATTTATTTTTGGTTTGGTTTGGTTTTGGGGGTTTTGTTTTTGTTTTTCAAAACAGGGTTTCTCTGTGTAGCCCTGGCTGTCCTGGAACTAACTCACTCTGGTAGACCAGACTGGCCTGAAACTCACAGAGATATGCTTGCTTCTGCCTCCTGAATATTGAGATTAAAGGCATGTGCCACCACTGCTGCCCAGCTATTTCTGTGATTAATATACAATCCCAGAACCATTTATTTTTAAATTTTATTTTGTATGTATGAGTGTTTATTACCTACTAATTTTTTTTAATTTTCTGACATACTTTCTTTTTTTAATCGTAGTTATATTATTGGTGTCCTGCTTCTGTTTGTTGATTTCCTTTTTTTTTTAAGATTATTTATTTTTAGTTTATATGTGTGAATGTTTTACCTGCATGTATGTATGTGTATCACATGTGTGCCTGGTCCCCTTGAAGGCCAGAAAAGGGCATCCGATCCACTGGAACTGGAGTTACAGATCATTTTGAGCCCCCATGTGTGTGCTGGGAACTTAACCCAGGTCCTCTGCAAGAGCATTATGAGCTGTTAACCCCCGAGCTACCTCTGCAGCCCTGTTTGTTGATTTCTTACCCTGTCTGCTGGCTTTGTGGCACTTGCTTTAAAGCTATAAGTTATAAATTTGAAAACTGATAAATAGTTATACCTGTAATTCTGGAAGGAAAGGATCGTGAACAAAAAAATTTCTTGAACAGTTGTGTGTCATCTGGATGATGCACCATGGGAGATAGCTTCCTGTGATAGGATAGCTCACATAAATTGATGTTTTATTTGCTGGATTTTAAATTCCTAATGTTTGGGGACTGTGGGTTTGTTTTGTTTTTTAATCATAAATCTTCTAATTTTTTTTTTTTGTGGTTGCATTTAAGTTCCAGGCTCTGTTCCTCTGATTCAGTTCCAATATAAAGATGGGAAGTGTTTTATTTTATTTTGAGATAGGATCTCACCATGTAGCCATGACTGTCCTAGAACTCACTGAGACCCTCTCTGCCTCTTGAGTTCTGGGATTAAAGACATGTCCCACAACACCTAAAATGGAAATTTAAAAGGAAAAAAAAAAAGAGTGTTCATTCTGACATGGGATCTTTAATCAAACAAACAAAAGCCTACAGTGGTTTTTTTGTTTTGTTTTTCTAATTTTAAGTCCAATACTTATTCCAAGTTACACAGTAGTTTGGGACAGGCTGGTAGTACGTTTTCCACTGAATGGAAGAAAGCACCATTCATAAAAAATGTCCTTGAAAAGGGAAAGGCAATTAATATAGTTGAAAGGAGACAAAGGTTAATAAGGATTCCAGAAACCAAAGATGAAGAGATCAAATACTTAGATTTTAAGATGTAAACTAACTGACAAGAACTATATCTTTGTAACATTGATGGCCTTGTTAATAGATACTGAAGGCATGCTATTAAATAAACCTGTTCTCTCTCTCTCTCTCTCTCTCTCTCTCTCTCTCTCTCTCTCTCTCTCTCTCTCTCTCTCTCTCATTTGGCACAGTCTTCAATCACTCTATTTCCTTCTCCCCTAACATCTTGTAAGCTATAAATTACAGTTTACTCTGTGTCTTGATCATGTCATTAGTCTCTCTCCCTTGCAATTCCACAGTCACATCTCTGCTTCAATACATCGTCATTACTTTACTTTTCAAATGATCTTTTTATAAGTTTAGCCTCCACACAACCATTAGGAGGGTTGGTCTGAAACTTAGAAGCAGTTATACACTCTCTTAGTTTAAAAACCAATAGTGAGGCCGGGCGGTGGTGGCGCATGCCTTTAATCCCAGCACTCGGGAGGCAGAGCCAGGCGGATCTCTGTGAGTTCGAGGCCAGCCTGGGCTACCAAGTGAGTCCCAGGAAAGGCGCAAAGCTACACAGAGAAACCCTGTCTCGAAAAACCAAAAAAAAAAAAAAAAAAAAAACCAATAGTGAGAGACCAGGTGTGGTGGTGCATACCTTTTAATTCCAGCAGATCTCTGAATTCGGAGGCAAACAGAGCTCTGAATTCTAGGCCAGCGTGGTCTACCTAACAGTTCCAGGCCAGCCAAGGCTATGTAGTAAAATCTTGTCTACAAAACAAACAAACAAACAAATTAAATTAAAAATAAATAAAAACCTATAGTGAGGACCTAGAAATGTATCTGCACTTGGCTAGCATGCACAAGGCTGTGCGTTCATTCCCTAACACCACAATAAACAAACAAACAGAAGTCTACAGTGATTTTTTTATTGTAATTGAAAGTCCAAGTCCATCAACATGGTATTTAAGAGTTTTTACTCTCCAGACTTATCCTGCCTTTTTCCTAACCTGCTAAGCCACCATATTTCTTCCTCAAAGGTTCAAGTCCAATTAGGTCTGTCAGAACATACCTCACTTCCAGATGTTTTCCTCATTCTGCTCTTTTATCTCCAGAAGAATGAATATCAGTTCCCTCTCCATGTTTCCATTAGGCAGTCTGTAAACCTCTGTTTTCACCTGTATTACAGGTAGTCTTTGACAGTTGACTTTAGGAAGATGCTAATTGTCCTAATATCTACCATTTATTTAGCAGAATGCTTAGTACATATGATATGCACACCATTGAGACTGGTCCCATGATATTAGTACATCTTCCTGATTTTGCAAATAAGTAAAATAAGCTTAAAAAGACCTCACAACTAGTACAGTGGTATAAGACAAAAACTTAAACTCCTATATCTCCTGAAGTCCATACTCTTAGGCACTTTGCTGAATTCTCTAGCCATACCTTTGCCTTCAACAGAAGGAGATACTTGCTATTGACTATATGAATACCTACTTCAGTCACACAGTAGTTTGGGGTAGGCTAGTAGTATGGGGTAGGCTAGTAGTAGTTTTCCACTGAATGAAAGAAGGCACCATTCATAAAAAATGTCTTTGGAATCTCCAAAACACACAAAAAAAGAATATATTGTTCGTTGGGTCTCAAATATTAGGTGTGAAGAGTGAAATAGCTTTAGTGTCTAAATATAGCTTCCTGTTTACAGCAAAGCCGCAGCGTAGTGATGCACAGTAGCTGTTTCAGTTGACTTCTAGAAGTCGGGTGATCCGGTTGAGCTTTGGCATAAAACACTGCACAGCTGACCAAATGCATAAACACACTTCAGGTGGAGTCAATGGAGTAGTGAGGCTTAGCAAAATCCTGCACAACACATATATGTGGGCTTGTTTTCATATTGAAAAAACTGTTTTAAATGCCACATGGTATTTATTAGTTCTTATATAAAGAAATACAAAATCAGTCACATCTTTTCTTTGGTTGTTTTAAGGGTCAAATAGTAAATCAGAATATAGCATTTGTTTATCTACATTGTGAATATGTGTGTGTGCATGTTCAAGCTTTTACACATTCCCACCATGGTACTCATGGGAGGTCAGAGGACAACTTTGAGGAGTCATCCTTCCACCATATAGATTCCGGACATCAAACTCAGGTTATCAGGCTCAGTGGCAAGCACCTTTATCCAATGAGCCAGCTCTCTCGCCAGCCCAAGGATATAACATTTAGGATTTCAAAGACTCTGTAGTGACTATTGGGTAAGAAATGGTGATTTTAAGCCAAATGTAGTGGCTCATGTTTATAATCCTAGCACTTGGGAAATAAAGGAAGGCAGATTTTGAGTTCAAAGCCAGCTTGGCCTCCATAACAATACCCATCTAAAAAAAGTGATTTTAGTTATTAATCTTTTATTGTCATCAGATTTTCCTTATAGACTTAGTAAAATGTAATATAAATTCAACTTTTTAACTATTCTTTTCTGTTCTTTCTCTAGTGTTGCTAGTAACAGTACTTGTAGTGGAAGGGATTGCTGTGGCCCAAAAGACCCAAGGTAAAGTATGGACAGGTACATGGTATGTTCAGGCAGTTTGAAAGAATTATAACTTGAGTGCTATTTCATAATCCTTTGTCTTAGTTTGCTCTCTATTACTGTGATAAAAAAAAAAATACCATGACCAAAAACAGCTTGGGAGAGGAAAGGATTTATTTGGCTTATGATTTCACATCACAGTTCATCATCAAGGGAAGTCAGAGCAGGAGCCAGGGCAGGATCTTGGAGGCAAGAACTGAAGCAGAGACTCTGGAGGAGTGCTGTTTACTCTTGATCAACCTGCTTTCTTACAGCACCCAGGACCAGCTGCCCACGGTGGCCCTACCCACAGTGGGCTGGACCATCCCACATCAATCATTAGTCAAGAAAACGCCCACAGACTTGCCCTTAGGCCAACCTTCTAGGGGCTTTTTTTTCAACTGAGGTGCCCTCTTAGATGACCCTAGCTTAGTTGACAAAAAATCCTAACCAACACATTCCTCTTGATTATTGTAGTGACCTAAAGCTTTCTATCAGCCTATAGAGCTCAACTTAACCACAATCAGCTACTAGCTTGTCTACACAACCTGCCCTGATCAACTTTTCAAAAGCCAGCGTCACTCATAGCTTTTAATACACTGTTAATTATATCCAAAATTTCAACGAAATTTACAGTTTTATCACTAAGAAAAATTAAGTGTCTTTTCTAGTGTGAACAAGCAGAGTCTTTCAGTACAGTCTTCAAAGCCCTTTGGTCCTATTGTATTGTCTGGCTTTGAAGAAGATTAGCTAGTGTGATTTTTTTTTTCTATTAGCAAATTTCCATGTCAAAGTTTAGTACATGTTCTCTACAACTTTATTTTTTATTTTCATCAAAGTTATACGTTCACATGATAAAAAATCAAAATAGCTGGGCGGTGGTGTCGCACGCCTTTAATCCCAGCACTCGGGAGGCAGAGCCAGGCGGATCTCTGTGAGTTCGAGGCCAGCCTGGACTACCAAGTGAGTCCCAGGAAAGGCGCAAAGCTACACAGATAAACCCTGTCTCGAAAAACCAAAAAAAAAAAAAAAAAAAAAAAAAAAAAAAAAAAAATCAAAATATACTAAACAATTGGGAAAAATCACTTTTCTTCTATTCTTCCTATTTCCTGCTTAATGAAAACCACTACTATTTTAAACTTTTTTTTATTTTGTCTGGGGAAAGATAGACAAATATGCTACAGTGCACATCTGTAGGGCAGGACAGCTTTGGGAAGTGGGTTCTCTCCTACCACTCCCTGAGTTATGGAGACGGAAGTCATGCCATCATCTTGAAAAGCATGAGCATTTAACTCTCTAAACCAGTTTTTTCTCAACCTGTGGGTCGAGATCCCTTTGACAAGCCTGTATCTCCAAAAGATATTTACATTATGATTCATAACTAGCAAAATTACAGTTATGAAGTAGCAGTAAAAGTAATTTTATGGCCGGGTGGTGGTGGTGAACTCCTATAATCCCAGCACTCAGGAGGCAGAGGCAGATGGATCTCAGAGTTGGAGGCCAGCCTGAGCTACCAAGTGAGTTCCAGAAAAGAGAAGAAAAGAATTTTATGGTTAAGGGCTATCATAACACAAGGAATTGTATTAAAGGATTAAAGCATTAGGAAGATTGAGAACCACTGCTCTAAATCATCTTATACCAAAAATAGCTACTTCTTTTTTTTTTTTTTTAATTTTCAGAATCTTTAATTAGCATACTGTAAATAGCTGCTGCTTTTTGGTCATTTCAATTTCCAACAACATCTGATTTCTCATGAAATAAACATGAGAGTTTAGTTCACTTATATACCTACTGTTCACTCCTTTACATATTATAAGCATTCGCTTTCTTTCCTGTTGAACCATCCTTGTAGATAAAATTGCACCACAGTTCTGATCAAATCAACATTCAGAACCAGGCTGTGGTCCAAGCCTTTAATCCAAGCCACTTGTGAGGTTGAGGCAGGAGGATCACAAATTCAAAGCTGACCTGATCTGGCCTGAACAATTTTTCAATACCTGTCTCACAAAATAAATGAATGAATGAATGAATGAATAAATAAATAAATAAATAAGTGCAAAAATCAGCACTCACGATTTAAACCACTCATCAAAGTTTTTCAATACAAATTTTGGTTTTAGGTTTAGGAATATTTTTTTCATTCAATTTTTAAAATTTCCTCCTTCAGGAAGGGAGAGGGAGTGGACGTTGGGGAGGGACTCGAAGGAGAAGGAAGGAGGGAGGGGAACTGATAGAGCAGAGAAAATAATTAATTAATTAATAATAATAAATTCCTTCATTTTCTCTAGTTTTTTTTTTTTTTCAGATTCCCTATTGTTTACTTACAGCTTTCTTGGGTTTTTTATTACTGTTTTTTTTAAGTTAACATACAAAGTGGTGAATTTCTTATGAAACTCAATATAATGAATTAAATATAAATTTAATTTCTGTATATTTTCACACATTTTTGTTTTAATCTGGGGAGACTTCCTCAATTTTTATTTCATAAACTAAGAATTACAAAACTTTATGGAAAGAGCCAATAAATATTTAGGCCTCTATCAGCCTATCCCTGAAACTGTGACCCAGTTCTTTTGTTGTGTGAAAGCAACCAAAATGAGCGATTAAAAGGTATTGATATGATCCAGGAAAACTTAACACATGCCTACAGGCGTTGGACCTCTGCTCTAAACTTTCTCACTCTGATTTTCTTTGTTTGGTGGAGCTTGCTTCTGTTTTTTTTGTTGATGTTTGTTGTTGTTGTTTTTTGGTTTTTGTTTTTGTTTTTTTTTTAGAAAGTGTTTCTTTTTCTTTTATGAATATATTTGCTTTTCTGTCTCTGGGGAAATTGCATGAAACCCTGTTGTTACTGGTTGGTTGATAACTTGGGTTTATTGTTTATTTTCATTTTTTTTTTGCATAGGCTTTATTTACTCAGAGTTGCTTTATTCCATGTGTTCCAACCCATTTTTCATACTAGAAGCTTTCTTCAAATTCCTGGTTGTCCTTGCATATGTACTTAATACTTTAACAGGTACACTAAAACGCTGATCATGAGTTGTCTGGAGGTTTGGGTAGGATGTGTTTGCCGTGGCTCTCATCTTGGATTTGAACTGACATCTGGGACTCTCTGAGCTGTATTGTTAACCCTTTCTTAGAGATTGAATTCCCAAAAAATAAATCTCTGTTTCCTGTCAGAGTCTCTGTTACTTCAAGAGTCAAGTGGGAGAAACCTGGGACTGTCATTGAATTCGTTAACATTCACCAGCTTCTCAATTTTCAAGTTGCTATTTTCACCCTCAGCTGCACCTGGTTGTCCCCAGTCCATTAATCCTGCTTTACCTTCATCAAAGAAATGTGCCACTGCTCCTAGGTGTGGAGGTCAGAGGACAGCTTGCAGGTCCTCTCCTTCCACTATATGGCTTCTGAGAATCAAACTCCGTTTGTCAGGCTTGGTGGCAGGTGCCTGTTGTGGCAAACTTATCCTCTACTGTCAAGCTTTCAAAATATGTGCATATATTACATGTATATGATGTATATTATATATAAAAGCCTCCTTGCACCTCTGCTGTACTCAGCTGTCATACCACATTTGGCAGTGGTTCTTATGAAGTCATACATGCAACAGGGTAGGCAGTTGTTTAGGGTGTTGGGGGAAAGAAAATAATGCTTGTTAAGTTTTGCTGTAATGATATTTAAAATTCTGTTCAAGATGGACAAAATATTGGGATCAAGCACATTCCTGCAACCCAGTGTGGCATTTGGGTTCGAACCAGCAATGGAGGTCATTTTGCTTCACCAAATTATCCTGACTCATATCCGCCAAACAAGGAGTGTATCTATATTTTGGAAGGTATTTGACAAATCTCTGTCTTTTCTTACATAAACTTTTACTTCACTGTAAAACTGAGGGCATTAGCTAAATGCTCTGCTTAAACCAGTTTGAACAAAATTTAAATGTGTTTGAATTATAATAAAGATAAATATTGTAAATATCAAATACATTAACAAAATGATAGTTAAATTTTAATGGGAATTCATAATTGTTTAAAGTATAGTTCGATTAAGTACATCACTGTATGAGAAAATTCCCTGATAAGGAATGTAAGTTCACTGGCACGTTCATGTTGAGTTCCTTTGTTTTTCTCTGTATCACATATGATACACTTACTTTTTATGAAGTAAGCAAGAATTAGCCTTCCACCTCCTCTCATTTTAGTCAACCAAGTATATTAACTAATTTAATAAATGACATATACCACAGGGAAATACCTCAGGGAAATGTTACTATGTTACTATAATTCTAGAATATGGCATTATTATTGCTGTGAGTTTTTCTTATGGCTTTTGCATACATAGTTCTCAGTGAGATTCTCAGATGTGAGGCACTAAAGTCATTGATTTGCTTGTCATCTGGGTCCATTCTTATATGTCTTATTCATGCTGCCCTGTTTGCTTACTCTTACTTTATAGCTGCTCCTCGTCAACGAATAGAGCTGACCTTTGACGAACGCTATTATATAGAGCCATCATTTGAATGTCGGTTTGATCACTTGGAAGTTCGAGATGGACCGTTTGGCTTCTCTCCTCTTATAGACCGTTACTGTGGCATGAAAAGCCCTGCATTAATTAGATCAACAGGAAGATTCATGTGGATTAAATTTAGTTCTGATGAAGAACTTGAAGGACTAGGATTTCGAGCAAAATACTCATTCATCCCAGGTAACAAATTAAGTGTCCTTAAAAAATAAGTTACCTTTCAATATTTGAATATATCACTAATTTTAGAATCTTAAGGTTAGAAAAGGATCATTTGATCAAGGTAATTAGATAAGACTGAAGAAATTGTCGAAGTCAAAAGAAAATCAGTCTAGGAACAAGTAAAAACTGTTTAAAATAGGGAGCAATAGACCACACATCCCAGTCCAATTCTGTGATAGGCCAGGCAACATTGCATTTTCTTCTTAAATATCTTTTAGGGCACACATCTAAGACCAACAACATCAAAATAAATAATATTTTTAAATAATTCAATCCATTGTCTTTTCACAATTCCCAAAAAAGCAGATATTTTTAATTGCACTTATTAACCATGCATAAATACTTTAGAAACTACTTAATATAATCAATACTGCACCTGCATTTAAGAGGGCTAGATCTGCCGGGCGGTGGTGGCGCACGCCTTTAATCCCAGCACTCGGGAGGCAGAGCCAGGCGGATCTCTGTGAGTTCGAGGCCAGCCTGGACTACCAAGTGAGTTCCAGGAAAGGCGCAAAGCTACACAGAGAAACCCTGTCTCGAAAAACCAAAAAAAAAAAAAAGAAGGCTAGATCTGGGTTTGAGTCTTTTCTCTACCATAAAGTTGTGCCTGAGACTTTGCAATAGTAAAATAGTAATACCTTCTGGATTCATTTCCTGGGACTGACATAACATAAATTTGCTGACTTGATTAAGGAAAGAGAAATACGAGTTGTTGTAGTTCTGGAAATCAAAAATTCCAAAATCCAGTAAAGCCTCACTCCCTCTAGGAACTGAATCTTGTTTTGTTTGGGGGTGCAGGTGGGAAGTTGAGACAGTCTCCCTATGTAGCCCTAAGCTGTCCTTAAACTCTATGTAGATCATGCCAGCCTCCAATTCTGTCTGCCTCTGCTGAGATTAAAGGTGTGCACCATCACTCACAGTTAGATCTGTTCTTATCTCTTCCATTGTCTGGAAGACTATCCTGGCATTTCTGCATTTGTGACATAGTGCTCTAACTTCTGACTTCACAGCTTTTCTTAAAATTCTTTTGCTTTTATAGTTTCCTGTGCATTTTTTATTTTGGGTGTGTGTCTCTCTGTCTGTCCTCTGTCTCTGTCTCTGTCTGCATGCACTTATGCCCACAGAGGCCAGAAGATGACATCATGTCCCCTGAAGCTAGTTACAGGTGGTTGTGAACTTCCCTCTGAATCCTGGGAACAGAACTCCAGTTCTTCCTGCAAACAGCAGCAAGTGCTCTTAAACGATAATCTGTCTCTTCAGACCCAGTCTTCTTAAAGTTCTTATTGATGTATCTTATGTTGTAATATAATACTCTTTTTATAACCATTTAAAGTAAAATTCACGGGGATTTGGATGTGGATCTATCTGGGCACTACTCCACTGTCAGCCTACTGCATGGTCTTACCCACACCTTGTAGGTAAGAACACTGGTCAAATGCTATCCATGGAAAGTACATACACTTTAATGTGGAAACTCAGAAATCGGTATGTTATTGTGCCCAAGGAGTTTACAAACATGACAAAATGAAATGACAGCCTAGTGCAGCAAGTGTATAATCTTTTCTGTTTGTTTTTTATGGGGGAAATTTAATTGAAAAATACACAAATGAGACTAATTATAATCCTGTCACTTTATGTTTAAATCATTGATAACAATTTGGTAGTTACCTCTTAAGATGGATTTCTTTACTCAGTGTGCTTTTACAAAACTGGTTATGCTATGCATACAGCTCTATTACCAGATTTTTTTCCCTTAAAAATTAAACCACTTTGTATCTGAATCAATAAGCATTATAGAAGTTTTTTGCATTAGTATCATCTATCTAATACTGAAAGGACAATGTTTTCAAACAGTAAAACTCGTCTAATGGACTTTAATAACAGTTTTAGGATAACAGCAAAACTTAGCAGGAAGTAGTTATCAGATGCGCCCCTCCACTCCTCTGAATCCACATCTTGCCAAAAGAGTGGTATATTTGGTACAATCAGTAAACCAACATGGGCACATCATAATTTCCCAAAGTCTTTAGCTTACAGTATAGTTCACCCTTGATATTATATGTTCAATGAGTTTGGTAAATAGCATATATCCACTGTTCTACAGAGTAGTTTCACTGCCTAAAAATTTTCTATGCTCCACTCACTGCACATCCTTCCTCCTAAACTGCTGGCAACCACTGGCCTCTCTATTGGTTTCTCATTTCCATGTCATGTATGGTTGGGATCGTGCAGTACGTTGACTCTTCAGGTTGACTTCTTTCACTTAACTATGTGAACATGACGTTTTTCCATGGCTTAATAGGTGATTGTGTGTGTGTGTGTGTGTGTGTGTGTGTGTGTGTGTGTGTGTGTGTGTTGCCTTTATTGTGTATATGTTTGTCACGGTACATAGAGATTAATAGACAACTTGTAGGAATCAGTTTTCTCTGTCATGTAGGCTCCAAGGTGAATTGTGATATGTGCTAAGGAAAATTATTTAGAAACAAAAGGCATATGTTGTATCTGTCCAATTGTATAAATTATCTAAAGTTGTTTACCACTAGTTGGTGGCATGAACCTGGGAAAGCAGGTTCCTAAAAATGAGGTATACTAAAGTTTTGTGCAGTAGCCAACTTTACTCAGAGCATCAGACAGTTTATACTCTGAGGGTTAAGAAGAGTCACATGAGTAAGGTCTTCAATCACAAGGACAAGTAACACATGCAAAAACGTGCTTTTCCATAGAGGCACATACAACAGCTGAAGTAAGCTCACTCCTGTCTGCTACACCTGTGAAGAGCACAAAAACACATTCCAAGAACAATTCTGTGCTTTGAAGAAACTGAGGTCACAACTCTTATCTTGTTTCCTTGGAGTTTCTCACAAGCACTCAGAATTCTCACACAACTCCATTCTTGGACTCTGTTCTGACATCAAGAAGGCAAATTCATGGAAATAGATAGTAGAAAGTTAGCACTTTAGTGAGCAGAGACTCCTTTTTTGATGATGAAAACTATTTCTGAAAATAAAAAAAGTGATGATTGTTGAACAACTGTGTCTATGCACTAAAATCACTGAAATGTACACCAAAAAAAAAAAATGGTTGGCATGCCTAGAATGGTGCCACACACTTAGGATCCCTGCTACTCAGGAGGTTGAGAAAGGAAGAGAGCACATTTGAAGACAGCCTGGGCTGTACACAAGACGTTGTCTCAAAACCATAGTTAATGTGCTATGTTTTGTTTGGAATTTACTACAACTGAAATGTAGTAACTTGTTTTTCTCAAAATGTAAGAAGTTAAGAAGGATAACTGAGGAGGTGATTCACAGGATATTCTGCCCTATAAACTTGTTCACAGAAGCTTGAGAACCAGTTATTTGTAACAAAATAAGCTATTTGTTTACATAGGTCATGTATTTAATGTTTACAGCCTAAATTAACTGAAGTAACCCCTTTAGTGTCATAAAATGTTACTACAAAATCTTATATATGAGTCACATCTTTACAAGTTTAGAGTTTTGAAACAAAAAAATTGACAATAAAACATACTTTTCAGGATCTGGAAAGATGTTTCAGTGGTTAAACTGCTTGCTGTATACATGCACTCCCATGTAAAAGAAACTATGTAAAAATGAAAGACTGTGTGTGGTGACACACACCTGTAACCACAGCACTGGGAGGCAGAGACTTAGTGGATCCACTGGTTGGTCCTGCCAAAAACTTCAGACTCTAGGTTCTATGAGAGAATCGTTGAGTTCAATGAGAGATCCTGTTTCTAACTAAAACAAAACAAAAAAGTGGAGCATGATAGAGGAAGATACCCAAGTGGACATCTGGCCTCTACATACATACACAATTTTTAATATTCTTTTTTAAAAAATATTTTTTAAATAACCAAATTTAGGGCTGGAAAGATAGCTCAGCAGGTAGAAAGAAGCATTTGCACATAGGCCCAGCAACCTGAATGTAATCCCCAGACTCCCACCAGGTGGCAGGAGAGAACTGATTTCTGCAAGTTGTACACACACACACACACACACACACACACACACACACACACACACACACAAACACAAACTAAGTCAGCCAACTTTATATGTAAAGACACTCACTTTGTACAAAAGTAGTTTTGTTTTGTTCTTTTTTTACAGTTTATAGGTAAAAATGCTTGGAATTTCTGGAATATTTTATCTTTGTACTTTACAGGGTTTGTGGTGCTACCTTCATTATATTAAATTTTCACTAATGGAAATATCATCAGCATTACATAATATCCTGTTTTATAGATGAGAAAGCTTAGGAATTAAGTACTTTTCTATACAGTAGCAAATTCAGGACTGTATTGAGTTTCCTAGGTTATTTTTTCTATTGTGTCATATTTCCTTTTTACTGTAGACAGGAATTCCCCAGTTTTATCTCTAAACTTCGAAAACAAACTCATAACAATAAATATGGGATACATAATGGACTGAAATACAGCTGTGTTTATTTTGATGTTATTTACAGGCATATTTCCAGTTGCACACTACATAGTAAGGCCAGCCTATATACACTATAGTAGCAAGGTAGATCTCTTGTGAGTTCAAGGCCAGCCTGGTCTACATAGTTCCAGGACAGACAGGGCTATGAAGAGAGACTCTGTCTCAAATAAATAAATAATTTTTTTAAAAAAGAAAGAAATGAAAAATAATTCTGATTAATTTTCCAAAAAGTTCTCATAGCTTTTTCCTAGTACAGTTTAAGATTTTAATTCTGCTTTGATACTTTTGCAGAAGAGCTGGTGTCCACTAGTTGACTCTTTTTAAAAAAAAAAAAAAAAAGATTTGTTTTATTTATTATGTATACAGTGTTCTGTCTGCATGTATCCCTGCAGGCCAGAAGAGGGCACCAGATCTCATTACAGATGGTTGTGAGCCACCATGTGGTTGCTGAGAATTGAACTCAGGACCTCTGGAAGAGCAGCCAGTGCTCTTAACCGCTGAGCCATCTCTCCAGCTCCTAGTTGACTCTTTAAATGAGGATAAATTTAGTTTTAGTTTAAAAAGAACAATCACTGAAATGTATTTGAAATTGAGCTAATAGTTTATTTCTCCACTTTCCAATATGTAATTTGGTGATTTTCTAAAGTGTCTTCAATTAAAGACAGTGTTAATAAAAATTGAGTGTCCTCTTACTTGGATTTAACCATGTCTGTAAATTAGGTTTTCCAGAGTACATATACAGTCTTTTATTTGTGGTTCCTCTTTTAACTTAGAAATAATTGTTGAGGCATATATGTGATATTTTTAAAAAGAACATTTGACTGATTAAATAGGAACTATTTATAAGTCATTAGCATTGGGTATATTTATCTTATTTTGAAATTATCACCACTACCCATTGAAGCAAATGTTTTAGAAAACATTTACTATAGCTCAACACAAAGGAAATGTATTCCTTTTAAGGCTAAATAGTATTCCATTGTATTAATAGACCATATTTTATTTATCTGTCCATATGTTAGTGGACTATTACATTTGACAATTAATATTTTCAGTAGCATAAAGCACACATAATGAAATCAAAAGTGTACAAATTTTCATTAAATGTCAACGCCATGAGCTTTCTCACAAATGACTAGTGATCTGCAGTATCTGTCGATGAAAATGTCTCTTACATTGCTGTGTAGTGAAGCTTTGGACATGAGTTAGGTCTGAAGGAAGCTCAGTACCAGTGACTTTCTTTTCTTTTCTGTTACAGATCCAGACTTTACTTACCTTGGAGGTATTTTAAATCCCATCCCAGGTTTAGTATATTACCTCTTTCTTCCTATGACATTTTTTATTAGTTTTATTTTTCTTTGAATATCTTTTTTTTTTTCTAGATTGCCAGTTTGAGCTCTCAGGAGCTGATGGAATAATACGTTCTAGCCAGGTAGAACAAGAAGAAAAAACAAAGCCTGGCCAAGCAGTTGATTGCATATGGACAATTAAAGCTACCCCAAAAGCCAAGGTATTGTTTGTTATATATTGACTTACTTCAGAGACGAACGTAAGAATGTATGATTTCTATAATGTATTGTTTGATTCATGTAAATATTTGTAACTAAATTTTTTGTTTCTTTTACTCTATTGGGCACCTACTAGGACCACAGTGTTTTCACAGTTAAATAAACTGAGATAGGAATAGTTAGATATTATACATATATTAAGGTTCTTGTTTAATTTTTAAGTGTGTGTGTGCACAAAGACACATGGCACAGCCCAGCTGTGGAAGTCAGAGGACAGCTTCATGGAGTTGATTTTTCTCCTTCCACCTCCATGTGGGTTCTGGGAGTTAAGTTCAGTCATTGGGATCACACAGCAAGTCTTTTACCTGCTGAACCATCTCATCAACCCCACATTAAGACTCGTCATCTTGAAAGACTGTGGTTTTTAAAAATCTACAGAGTCCTGACTGCTGAATGCAAGTATTGATGAATTAAAAATCTACAGAGTTCTGACTGCTGAATTCAAGTCTTGATGAAATACTTGCTGGGTTTTTGTTTGTTTTGTTTTGTTTTACTTTGTTTAAGTGCTTTAGGGTCCTGGGAAGACAGCTGGATGAGTCAAGTGCTTGCTCTGCAACAAGAGGATCTGAGTGCAGATCCCAGCACCCACACACAGCCAGGCACCTTTGTGGTAGTGCGCGTCTGTAACACTAGCAGAAGGAGGGAGGGGACACAGGCGGACCCCAGAGGCTTGCTACTCACCCAGTCTAGCTGAAATGGGGAGCTCAAGATTCAGTGAGAAACCCTGTCTCAAAAACTAATTAGGTGGATAGCAAGAGAGGAAGATACATGTGTACACATATGACACACATATGTCTTCAGAAGAAATCCTTTTTCTGGTAAGGAACATTAGACTGGAAGAAGTTAAATATCTTAAAGGATTGGTCATATCAGTGTGAAATACAAACACTGAATCTTACTCAGGTCTGTGTTCCCACTGTTCTGCTCTCGGTAATCATGTCAACCTGTTATGGACAGTGCTGCAAAAAAAGAATGCCTTTAAATAACTCTGAGATTGATTGTTGACTACTTGTGCTTTTTATTTTTAAGTTATACTGCTAGGAATATCAACAGAGATAAAATTAGATTTAATTTATGTGTTTGTAGAAAAGGGAAAAGAAAGAAAGAGAACTATAAGAACATATCATGATTTGGGGACCAACCTGGGCTACATAAGTGAGATCTGACCCTCCCACAAAAAAGCATGAAAAATGAGATTTATATTTATGCAAAATGGTAGATAACCTGAAAATGTTTTAAAACAGGTCAAAACACTTGGAAATATTAGACAAAACTTACCAGGTATTCCTCAAAAAGAAAATATAATTTTAAAATAAAACCAGTGATTCTTATGAAAACACACAACTGTATATTAGTACAGTAAAATAAAACTGATGTTACAAATGCCTATGGGGATTTCAGTTACTCATTACTCCTCAGGGGTCAGCGGGGGACATACCATGAGTTTGGTTTCAACACCACCATTGTGAGGCCCCTTACAATCCAGAACTCTTAGAGGGAGATGACTGAACTAAAGGGAAAACAAGGAAACATGTTACAGCAGGGGCTTGTTCTCTGGTGAGGGAAGGTTCTTTTTTGGTTTTTGGTTTTTTTTTTTTTCTAGACAGGATTTCTCTGTGTTAACAGCCCTGACTGTCCTAGAACTTGCTTTGTAGACCATGTTGGCCTCAATCTCACAGAGATCCATCCACCTGCCTCTGCCTCCCAAGTGCTGGGATTAAATGTGTACCCCACCATGCCTGGCATTCTCCTGTGATTTCCTACTTAAAAAGTAACCTTCATGTCTGGGATATGAATTGATATTCCCTGGTCAGTCCAGGAAGTACAACTCACAAAAATTAACAAGAGAGTCTAGTCCTGAGCTCACAACTTTAAGGCAATTAATTAATCTAAAATAGCCAAACATACTATGGAGTTTGCACCCATAAAATGCCACTGAAGGTCACCTCCCAATCCCACATTAGGTAATAACCCTTCTGCTCACAGTCCATCATGAGGTGAGAGTAAACAAAACAAAAAGAAAGAAGCTTAGTCTCCTAGGTTTTAGATTTCCAAGAACTATATCCTACAAGAAGGAACAGAAAGATGAGAAAGAAAAATGACCAGGTAAATTTTTTTAAGGACTACATATAAAAAACATCAATAACAGCCGGGCGGTGGTGGCGCACGCCTTTAATCCCAGCACTCGGGAGGCAGAGCCAGGCGGATCTCTGTGAGTTCGAGGCCAGCCTGGGCTACCAAGTGAGTTCCAGGAAAAGGCGCAAAGCTACACAGAGAAACCCTGCCTCGAAAAACCAAAAAAAAAAAAAAAAAAAAAAAAAAAAAAAAAAAAAAAAAAAATCAATAACAAAAGGAATGGTTATTTTAAAAGCTGAGGAAATCTATAATAGTAAGGTATAACAGTATCTTAAGACATTTTCAAGAATTGATGAAAGGCATAACATGGTGACTCCCTAAAAGAAAATATGATTAAATGTTGTGTAGATTGAGCCCACAGACAGGAAAAAATTTAAACCCGAGAATAGGAAGATTGCCTCCAAAGGGATATTTAGTCATTTATTGAAACCATGTATTTATTTATTTCATATGTGAGGGGATACATGCATACCTTGGCACATGTGGAAGACAGAAGACAGTTCTCTCATTTCTCCTCTTGGGACCCAGGAGTCAAACTCAGGTTAGCAGCCTTCACAGTAGATGTCCTTACCCACTGAGCCATCTTGCTGGCCTGATGCTATTTCAGTTTGCCCTAGAAACCCTCCATAGTAAAATAGAAGCTCAAGGAGATAGTTGTGTCTTGAAAGAAAGTAGCCTACATTTTCTGTGTCTGAACTAATTTAAGAATTAAGGCAAAGCTAAGTGATTCCTGAGTAAAAACAATAAATGAATTAGGTGCAACATTTAAAATCCAAATAAGTCCTGTTTATAGGATAACTAAAAATTTGAAGATAGGAAAGTAAAGTGTGGCTGGAAGTTGACTCAGTGAATAAATTGCTCTCTGTGTAAGCATTAGGAAACAGTTTAGATTCCTTGCACCCATATAGGGCAGCTAGGCAGGACTGGGCATTTCTATAACCTAAGCACTGGGATGGAAGGGGGTGGGGCAGGACAGCAACAGGCAGATCCCAGTAGACAGTCACTCTAGCTGAAATGGTGAGCCCAGATTTAGAAAGAGACCCTGCCTCAGACAGTAAGATGCAGAGTGAGAGGAAGATACCCTCTAAACATCCACACACAAATGAGCATACCTGCACACATATGAATGTATGCATCACACACAATAAATAAATAGTAAGAAATGCCAGCAAATACCAAAAGAAAGTAGATATTACCCATTAAAATAGGAATCCAGACTCACTAATTCACAAGAAAAACATAATTTAAAATCTTACAGATTATGACCTCAAAGTATACAAAGCATAAACTAAAAATCAAAAATTCCATTTACAGTAATTTCACCTCAATAATTAATATACCAAAGGTTAAAAAAATATCATAAGGCTATTAGGATTTAAACAACATGTGGTATCTTGATGACAACATCTAGAGAGTGTGTTCTTCCTAAGCATAGACTTACAAAATTGATGCATGGATTAGACCAGACCAGCAGTTCTCAACCTGTGGGCTGCAACCCCTTTGGGATAGAATGACCCTTTCACAAGGGTCACCTAAGACCATCAGAAAAACAGATATTTACATTACAATTCATAACAGTAGCAAAATTACATTTATGAAGTATCAATGAAAAAAATTATGATTGGAAGTCACCACGACATGAGGAACTATGTTAAAAGGTCACAGCATTAGGAAGGTTGAGAACACTGTGTTAGACTAAACTGCATACAAGATCAAATGTTTGGAAATGGGACAATGTGGTACTTAGTAATTCATATAGCACAGAAGAAATCAGGATGGAAGTTTGAATACATGTAAAACTCAGTAATTAAAATACTCATATCAAAAAATTGTGGGATACATTTAAAACAATACTTTGAGAGTATCTATGACCATACATGCTTCCTTTGGGGAAAAAAGCTTGAATTTAATGAGCTAATATTCATCTCGAAAAATAAAAATGACAAATTTAAGGAAAATAAAAGATAATTTTAAAAACAGAAATAAGGTAAAACCTAATGTCCTGGTTAGCCATAATTGTCAACCTGACACAGCCTAGAGTAATCTGAGAGAAGAAGCGTTGGTTGAGGAATTGCTGACATCAAAGTCGTCTATAGGCATGTCTGTGAAAGAAGGTCTTGATTTTTAATGATGTAGGAGAGCCCAGCCCACTGTGTGACAACATTCCTCAGGGAGTTGGTACTGAACAGTATTTAAAGAAGAGAGAGAGAGAGAGAGAGAGAGAGAGAGAGAGAGAGAGAGAGAGAGAGAGAGAGAGAGAGAGAGAGAGAGAGAGCGAGAGCGAGAGCGAGCCAAGAGAGATGGCTCAGGGCTTGATAGCACTCACTGCTATTTCAGAGGACCCAGGTTCAATTCCCAGCACCCACACGGAGCTCAGAACCATCTGTAATCCAGTTCCAGGGCATCTGGTATGCTCCTCTGGCCTCCCTGAGCACCAGGCACTCATGTGGTACATAGATATTCAAGCAGGCAAAATGCTCATGCGCAGATTATAAAAATAATAATAAAAAAAACTTAAAAAAAAAAAGTAAGCATGAGCATGCAAGCTAGCCAGAGAATGAGCCTATAAGCAGCATTTCTCCATGGGTTCTGTTTTCAATTCCTGGTAAGTTCCCCCTGATGGAGTATGAACTAGAAATGTAAGCCAAATAAACTCTTTTCTCCCAAGTTGCTTTTGATCAGCGTTGGATTACAGCAACAGAAACTAAGACACCCAGGAACAGTCATGGGTGACAAAGGCCTGTAATTCCAGCTACTCAGGAATCTGAAGCAGGATGAGCTAGAGTTTGAGGCCAGCCTAGGAGGC